CCTTGCCTGAATATGCAGATATCTGTTTATAGAGATTAATGTTCAGTATTATAATGACAGTGCTGGCAGCAGCCAGTCAGGAGAGACCCTCCATGGTGCACTACGATTTGTTTTGCGCTAGAATGAACACATTCAATTTTAATGTGGAAATCTCACACATCAGAGACGATGAACAAGGGCATTAAAATGTGAGTCTTACAGCTAAAAGATGAGACTCAAGTAGGTACATGTACAGGAGTTAAGTGTGGGGCGACTGCTGTGCAAGTGCCCTGAACTGTAACTGGGCGGAGGCTGTGAATAATATATTTCTCCCAATTGTGGGTAGGGTGTATTAGAGAAAAGACATCAGTACAAAAATTCTTACTAGGGCACTTGAATTAATCTAACCTAACCGAGAGTTAGCAGGTTAGTCAGAATGGTTGCTAATGGAACAATAAGTTGACACTTTACTTAAAAGACATTTGTACTACTGACTCCTGTCTCATTAATGTTGGCAAACTACAACTCTTGTAAACCACTTTATACTCTTGCAAAGGAGGTTAAAATTGGATGGCGCACAGCTGGTAAGCTATTCTATCCTAGGTCAACTATGCAATTTCAAGTATCAAAGTTCATTAAGTTGAACTAAACATAAAATATTTGCAGATTACTTCACCAAAACACATAAAAAGCCAAAGGTTTTTGTTAAAACTGTAAGACTTTTTACTTTTAAGAATTTAATCAGTGACCTTCGGTCTGTTTCCATTCTACTGTCAGCTTGGTAAGTTCAAGTTTGTGCATTGTGCAAAACTATGTGGACAATTGAACATTACATTGGTGAATGTCTCACTCCAGGACCAGTCCTACGCAGCCTCTCTCTCAGCCAGTGTTTTGGTTTCAGGCCACAAGATTTTCTCCCATTCAGGCACAGGAGCATTAGTGTGGTTGGTAACTGATGTTTGGGCGATAAGGCCTGGCAGGCAGTTGACATTCAATTCTTCTTGACAGTGTCAGATGGGGTTGAGGTCAGGGCTTAGTGCCAGCCAGTCTCCCAACCCACACTCAAATCCATTTCTTTATGGCTTTGTGCACGGAGGAGATGTCACATTGAAACAGAAAAGGACCTTCCCAAAATTGCTGCCACAAAGTTGGAAGCAATATTGTCTAGAATATTGGTAACGCTGTATAAACCATATAGAGTACCCCTCAGTCTGCTGCCACTAAAACAAGGTTCACTTTAACAATACAGGTGGTACTTCCATGCAGTATTAAGCATCTGACAGCTCTGTGTTTCTCAGGAGATCATTTGTTCTCTGCTTCAGGTTGAATAAATTTATCATGTGAGGTCTATTCTTACTGTACAGCAGTATCTTTGATTTTACTGCGAGTATATACAGTACCTCTAGATCTAGACCCTTAATATAGCAGCTCCTCTGAGGCAGCGAGGTGAAAGACCAATTTTCTTCACAGCAATTCCTGCTGTAGTGGCTGAAAGCAGCTGCAAGTAGCGGGGAGGAGAAATAAGATCGATACTCCTCCAGCATTACAAAGCTGGATATTTTGATGTGTTAGTAGAGATTTACCGCTAATCTGCAACTCACTATTTCCAGATGTGATTACGTGAGCTCATATCAGTTGTATTTATTTGATTGCAGCACTTTTCCTCCACTGGTCATTAAATCCTGGGTAATGTTCAGTTATTTCAAATCCCCTGAGCTCCATACAATTAAAGGTCATGTGCACCCAGTGGTTCTCTTGATTATAGACTTCATTTTAATTGGTGAGCTATTCAAACTGGTGCAGAGGGGTAAAAGGTCAAATGATTTTCAGGCCGTGGCAGCAGTATGAAAAGGTGTGGGTTGCCTGAGGAGGGCAGACTATTATTAATTTCATTATACTGTACATCTTTATCTGTATCGTTGCTAAAGACGACCCTGACAACTCAACTGTTGCTGAAGAGATTTTTTGCTTTGTCTTAGCTCGCCCTGCAGCTTCACTGTCAAGCCAGTTAGATTACAAAGTAGGGAATAGTAATGCTTATTTGCTTTATTTTTAACATTTGTTGTTGCAATGTGGACATTGTGTTCTTCGTCACCTATGTACAGCTATAAATAGCCTTATAGCATCGTATATCAATCTATCAATCCGACTTCATTTGTATAGCACTTTTCATACAAGCAAAATGTAACACAAAGTGCTTCACACATTATCATACACCAGCGTCTGAAGACCTGAGCTCATAGTGTAAAAGCAAATCTGATAAATAAGTAGGACTAAGACCATTAAGAGATTTATAAACCAATAAAAGGATCTTAAAATGGATTCTGAGGCACACAGCAAGCCAATGCAGAGACTTTAGGATTGGTTTAATGTCTGCTCTTTCTGGTCCTCTTCAGCACACGTGCAGCTGTGTTTTGAAGTAATTGTAATTGAGCTATTTTCTTCTTTGGGAGACCAGAAAGTAGAGCATTACAGTAATCCATTCTGCAGGTAATAAAAGCGTGCATTAATGTCTCTGTATTGGTTTGGTCTTGAATTGGACTGAACCTCGTTGGACAAAGTCTTGACTCGATCTTGACTAGTCCTGGTCTTGGACTCGACAAAGGTGGTCTTGACCACAGCACTGTTCAAAATGAATAGCACAATTGTTTGCTTCATTCATTAGCATCTAGTTTCCAATCAATGTAAGACAGCAGTGAGGTTGCTCTTTTCAGTAAAAATCCAGTTGTAGTTTTACCATCTACAGCTGGTGATGTTACGTATCATTTCACATAAGTAGCATTTATGTTAACTGGCACACCAGCATGACAGGATAACCAGTAAGTCTAAAGCACAACACACACATTGCCAGTGTGCGTTGGGCTTTAGCCTTACTGGTATGAGGCACACACTGTCTTCCTGTCTGTGTTTGGGTGGATGACATTTATACCTGGATGTATGTTGAGAATGTACATTTGCTCCTGGGAAATGTGTGTGACTAACATGAATTGGCTTTTTGCTGTTTATACTTTTTAACACCTCAAGGTGCTAAAATCCAGGTACCAGGAACCAACACATCTCAGGGTATATCAGCTCTATAGGGTGTCTAAAAATAATTTAAAAAAGTTTACTTAGACATCAGCATTTCAACAGACAAGAAATCTTGAAACCATTATCTGGTATTTTAGCACAGTTAGTGGTTTTGCAAGGCAAGGATTTAACACATCAGATTACATTATACAGCATATATTTTTCATACATACTTAAAAGGTGTAGTTGAACATTTTAGGCAATATGCTCAATTGCTATCTTATCTGAGAGTTATATGAGAAGATTGATACCACTGAAAAAAAACTGCAACTGCAGCACCGAGCAGCAACTTTTGTTTGAGGACTTGTAGGTCATTCATTTTGTATTTATAATCAATAACCAACTGTGTGGATCATTGTATTCATTGTAAAAACATCTCATAATGGAAATGGAGTTAATGAATGTATAACTCAAATATCACATGTGCACTGGTCAAATACAACGATCAGTCATAACATTATGAGCAATGACAGGTGAAGTGAATAACACTGATCATCTGGTTATCATGGTACCTGTCAGTGGGCAGCAAGTGAACATTTTGTCCTGTGTTAGAAGCAGGAAAAATGGGCAGTGTGAGAATTTGAGCGACTTTGACAAGGGCCAAACTGTGATGGCTAGACGACTGGGTCAGAGCATCTCCAAAACTGCAGCTCTTGTTGGGTGTTCCCGGCCTGCAGTGGTCAGGTGTCAGAACACACAGTGCATCACAGTCTGTTGTTATGGGGCTGCAGAACATTATGACCACCAGGGTGTCCAGGACTCATAATGTTAAGGCTGATGTGGTGGAGGTGTATGTCTGGAATATGCCAGTCCATCAGCAATCTTTTTAAATACATTTTTCTGATGTTTCACTCACTTTGCTTTTTAAAAGTTTGAGTCAAACTCTGTTGTTTACTGAGCATTAAATGACGGTTCAGGCAACCTCCTTCAAAGTTTTGCCTGGCACACGCCTCCTCCCCTCTCCCTCCTCTCCCCTTCCGTCTTCTTTGTAAGCGGACAGCATAGCCCCACGCAAGTTTTAATGACATTAAAGTGCTGCTGCATGGGCACTCACCTACCGGCATGGACATCTGTCCGTTTTTCAGACATCCTCCAAACAAATGGTAAATAGTCGTTGCCTGACTTGTCAGTTAGTAAGATTTTTACATGTATTTGCCTTGCTCTGACTGCTACTGTGATTTGTTTCTCTTAGTTTGTGTATGGAATAGTTTTGTTATTAGTTTTGACAGTTGACATTTGAAATCCATTAATTGAAACAATGAACAATTGAATATTGATTGAGCCATAAGGACTTGAACCCCACACCAGCACACCAAATAAACAACAACAATAGTAATAATAATCATAATAAAATCATATACTTATAGGGATATATGATTTGGTCTTGTATATTACCACTACAGTCCTGGCTGCAATGTAACTTGGTATGTGCAGTAACTTACATTAACTGTGACATATTTTTTTTTATATACATCACTTAAAATGTAATAAATTATGATTTTTGATTCTTTATCAAAAAATGTCAAGAAAAATTGAGTTGCTGTGGAGGTGCTGACAGGAGCTTAAAACCACAGGCAGATGCACTGCAGCCTTGTAGAGGTTTCTGTCAGCACAATGGTGAGTTAAGCAAATCACTGAGAGGTGGTGGCAGGGGAGATCTGTGCTCGACATACGGGCCGGTGAACAAGTAAAATGATAAATGCTCCCGCTGGCGAAGGTGATGAATGATAGATGGCATACAGAGATGTGTTGCTGAAACCTATAATCCTTCTATTCAGTGTCATTTAAAAAGAAAATCAATACTCTTCAGTTGCAGGAGAAGCTGCTCCTTTCGCTAAGGACACAGAACAACATTAGTGATGTAAAAATGAAATGATATTTTTAAAATGAAATGGCATCAAATTATACCACAACGTACATCCACTTAAATGTTCTTTCATCTTATCTTTTAGGAATATCAAATTGACATCATCTTCGCCCAGACGTGGACAGACAGCCGTCTCAGATACAACAGCACAATGAAAAAATTGACTTTGAACAGCAATATGGTTGGACTTATTTGGCTACCAGATACCATCTTCAGGAACTCCAAGAATGCAGATTCCCACTGGATTACAATGCCCAACCAGCTGCTCAGAATATGGAACGATGGGAAAATACTTTACACCTTAAGGTAAACACAGAACTTATTCCTGGTTAAGTGAAACCAAAGCTACCCTTTTTAGAACACAAAGGCAAAGCTTATGCAAATATTAAAGTGAAAATATTAGAATTATGTTAAGCATTAATGGACAGCATTACAGCTATAAACAACCCAGACTTTTATTTATCCCTAAAAACAAGTTGTATATGTTACACTGTAAAACCAGATGAAACTCAATTTTGTAAGTTAAAAAAACATTTTTGATCAAGAAGCTTCAGAAGTAATATAAAGTGACACTGACTTCATCTGTACTGTGAAAAGAAAATACCTAGTATAAGGTACTTCATCAACTAACGTATCACATTAAAGTGTAGAATGCACAGAACAAATGAGTGTTACTGTAGTTTAGACACCATAAAATAAACCATACCAAAGACAAACCGTCTTTAGTGTAGCTTATTTTATGACTGGTCACAACTATTGGATCGCAATATAAAATATCGCGGATCGCGGATAAATTCTGTGAATCCCTAGCTAATCATGAGGTTCACAGCAACAGGCTAATATCGTTTGGAGAATTTTGAGACTTCTTGGTTCCTTCTCACACATTTACTCACAGTAAATATACTGTATAGACTGATTTATGGGATATTATGTAGCCTGTTTTCTGAATCAACATTTCTCAACATGATTCCTATAATTACCTCACTTAATATCCATGTTCTCTGTAACTATTTAAACTTTCCTTTGGAAATAACTGAGGTTTATCAATGCACCAGTCAGTCTATACTCCATCAGACTGGAGCAGTCTTATTCACTAAGAAACTTGTGTAAAATAATTTGTGATGCAAACATTCCCCAAAAAGAGCAGCGCAAAAGCAATTAGCCCCTGTCATTACCGATTGTAAGTGCAAATTGCCTGCTTGAGCTTTAAGACCAATTTACTAAGGCAGCCACCCTCATGCCCCAAAGCACTCTTTGTAATTGGAGCACTCGACATTGATATAAACTGCTCCTTCAGTAATAATCATCTCTAGACTGTCCTCAATCTTTTTTGGCACTGCCCTTATGTTGTGAGACATCTCCAGATTTTTAATTGACAGTGTTTAAGGACTCTTGTGTGTTTTAGTTGAATGTGTTGTGCATGTGCAAGGTTGATTTGGTCAAGCGCTATAAAACTTCCACACAGAGCTTGCATATTTCTGCAAGAACAAATAGTAACCTCAAGTCACAAATAAAGCCCAGCTAGATCCTCCCCCATGCAGCTCTATTGATATTGGGTATTCAGGGGCATGCAAACTTTGAGGAGTAATATCCGTTGATGGCATAAGAGAAAGACAATGAAATGTCATTGGGTATTAATTGTGCATTGGCTTGGCTGCAGTAAACAGAGATGACATTTTGTGATATCCATGCCTCTCCCACATGCATGGTATTGTCCCATTTCCATGCTTTAATGAGGTTTAAAGATCATACCAGAATTACATTACAAAGATTTTTCTTCTTTTCCCTGTCTTATGTGTCCACTCTTGGACATTACATATATGATTTACAAATTTACTTTCACAACAGGTCCGCCCTAAGCAAGATTTTCTTTAGGGGGCCCTGCTTACTTTGCCTGGAGCCGGGGACGTTTATGTTTATAGTTTAACAATATACATTTTTTTTTCAATCTCTCTCTCTCTCTCTATATATATATATATATATATATGGCAAGAACATTAATGCAAGGAGGTATAATCCTTGCATTACATTAAAACACAAAACACATTTAATGTGCCTTAATTTGATAGAAGTTCATTAAGAATTATGCTCTCAGAACTTAAGTCAGAGGTCTCAGCAACTTCCAAATGGCACAAAGTCTCAAAGTCTTTGTAAACTGCCAACAAGAATAAAACTGTGGCTCAATGTACGAATTTAAAAATATATTTTCAGTACATTTTGACAGGTTGATCTGAAATACTTTATTGATCCCCGGGAGGAAATTTGTTGACAGGAGCAACTGTTAACAGGCAGCATGCACTGTCGGGGCATGCACAGTAATTATAATACAGGGGGGGTTGTCAGATATTTATTTAGCATACATTAATGAGTCCAGCTGTTTGTTGATGGCAGTTGACCAGTCGACCGTGCAGCATGAGAGCGGGTGAAATTATTGGTCTTTTCATTTATGCATCATGTCAGGGGCAATTCTGTAAGACTGCTGCATTTAAATGACCTGACTGCTTTATCCTCACGATTACACAAGGATACATTTCAGTCACACTGGCACTTGCTAACGCTCCTCACTCTCTCTCTCTCTCTCTCTGTCTTCTCTCTGAGTGATGCAGTCAGAGATTCTTGCATATTATATACACTGAAAAAATTATAAACGTAACACTTTTGTTTTTGCCCCATTCGACTTTCTCTATGTACGCCTATTTCTCTCAAATATTGTTCACAAATCTGTCAAAATCTGTCAGTGAGCACTTCTCCTTTGCCGAGATAATCCATCCACCTCACAGGTGTGGCATATCAAGATGCTGATCAGACAGGATGGGTATTGCACAGGTGTGCCTTAGGCTGGCCACAATAAAAGGCCACTTGAAAATATGCAGTTTCACTGTATTGGGGGAGTCTGGGGGGGGGTCCAGAAACCAGTCAGTATCTGGTGTGACCACCATTTGCCTCATGCAGTGCAACACATCTCCTTCACATAGAGTTGATCAGGTTGTTGATTGTGGCCTGTGGAATGTTGGCAGGACCTGGAACAAGCTGTCGTATACGCCGATCCAGATCATCCCAAACATGCTCAATGGGTGACATGTCTGGTGAGTATGCTGGTCATGCAAGAACTGGGATGTTTTCAGCTTCCAGGAATTGTGTACAGATCCATGCAACATGGGGCCGTGCATTATCATGCTGCAACATGAGGTGATGGTCGTGGATGAATGGCACAACAATGGGCCTCAGGATCTCGTCATGGTATCTCTGTGCATTCAAAACAACAATAAAATGCACCTGTGAACGTTGTCCATAACACACACCTGCCCATACCATAACCCCACCGCCACCATGGGCCACTCAATCCACAACGATGACATCAGCAAACCGCTCACCCACACGTCTGCCATCTGCCTTGTACAGTGAAAACCGGGATTCATCTGTAAAGAGAACACCTATCCAAAGGGACAGACACCATCGAATGTGAGCATTTGCCCACTCAAGTCGGTTACGACGACGAACTGCAGTCAGGTTGAGACCCCGATGAGGATGACCCCGATGTACTGCCAAATTCTCTGAAACGCCTTTGGAGATGGCTTATGGTAGAGAAACGAACATTCAATTCATGGGCAACAGCTCTGGTGGACATTCCTGCAGTCAGCATGCCAATTGCACTCTCCCTCAAAACTTGCAAGATCTGTGGCATTGTGCTGTGTGATGGAACTGCACAGTTTCGAGTGGCCTCTTATTGTGGCCAGCCTAAGGCACACCTGTGCAATACCCATCCTGTCTGATCAGCATCTTGATATGCCACACCTGTGAGGTGGATGGATTATCTCGGCAAAGGAGAAGTGCTCACTGAAGGATTTTGACAAATTTGTGAACAATATTTGAGAGAAGTAGGCCTTTAGTGTACATAGAGAAAGTCTTAGATCTTTGAGTTCAGCTCATGATGAATGGGGGCAAAAACAAAAGTGTTGCGTTTATAATTTTGTTCAGTGTATGTTGACTAGCTTAATATGACCTATCCATTGAGGAGGGGGCTCCCTGTACTGGGTCAGAGCCATTGATTGACTTTATGTTTCCCAGCAACTTTATTTATTTAAAAAGATTTATATAAAATGTTCCCCTATTTTGGAATTTATTATGATTTTAGTGTACTTTCTTTCATGTTGTTTTCTCAGACAGGTGTAATGTAATTTCACGGGAACACAAGTTATGCAATTATTAAAGCATCAGGCATATTTTCAAACTTCAGGCTGATGTGTCTATTTCATTATGTTTAAAGAGGTCAAAGCACTCTTAATGCTTCCTGAAGCCATTGTCCATTAAGATAAGAAATGTTACTTGCTTTCTTTTACTGGTTTATAATTGAGGGTCAACAACATATTGGCTGCATAATTACATCCACAGCTTTGCATAGTCTTCAGGGACAGCTCATCTTTAGCTACATCACAGGCAGATTTTCCTAGAATCTACACATAATGACGTGATGTGTGTGTAGCAGGTGTGTTAATACATCATTGTGGAGGCACACAGGGGGAAGTGAGCAGTAGGAAAGATATACAATGTCTATGCATTGTCTCCCCACAACAATGTTTCTCAGTCTTAGTCCACAGAGTAGGTACAGCTGGTCACTCGTCATGATGTCTGCTATGAGTTTTGTGAATTACACGCCACTGACAGCTGATTAAATTAGAAGAAGTGGACGATTCATTTTTCAATTCAGATTATTTCTTACTATATACTGTTTTTGATTTAATGCAAGGCTACAATGAGAATGTGTAAATAGGATAGAATGATGTATAACATTTTTGTATTTTCAACTACTTGCAGTATATTCAGTTATAGTTGTAGATACTTGAACAACTTGAATAGCAGGGATGCAACTAACAGTTATTTTCCTAAATTGATCAATTAATTGCCTGATCTAAATAGCATATCAGTGCCTGAATTGGACCAAAAAAGGTGCCAGTACCCCATTTCAGCACAAACCCTTATCACAACATAACTAATTTGTTTGCTGTTTTCTATTTCATTTATTGTTATTTATTTTTATTTTTACTTTTAACTAGAAAACAAGGACCTTTCTAGTGCTGTTTGGCATTACTACTAAAAAGTAAAGGTACTCATGTGGATAAAAATCAGAAGTGCCAGTACTCTAAGTACTGGCCCATTTCAGACACTGTAGCCGATTGTCAGCAAATACTGAAAAAATTTCATCACAGTTTCAAAGAGTCCAAGGTAATATCCTCAGATGTCGTGTTTGCTTGCATGATCAATTTATAAAAATATAAAACCGGTTGGAGTTTTTGCTTTAAAAATTACTTGAAGAATAATCGATTATCAAAATAGTTGCAGATTAGAGGTACACAATGGACTTTAAAAACAAGTTCTGTTTAGATGAAATATTTCTGACTAAAACACTGACAAAAGTGTTGAAAGTATTTCCTCTCTATTTTCTTTTATTGAATTTTTTATTTGTTGGTTTTATGTACAAGCTTGCAGTTATCTTCTCTGGATCTTTCTGCCGCACTGTTCCTTGGTGCATTACTGCCACTTGTCGTGAAACAGTGTAAAGCAATCGGCAGTGCTTCCCCCTGTGCTTGGCTTGTATAATATACAAACAAAGCATGAAGCAATTCATCACATGTTTGCCTTTAACTTTTTATTGATCAACTTATCCATTAATGGACTAACTGTTCAACTCTGATATACACTGTACATCACGCCAAGCTAAAATCTGATTGCATGTTTTGAAAAATCAGATGCAAACTGGTTAAAAGGTCAAATTGTTGACTTTGATATTTTCTGTCTGGCTCTGAAAAGACTCGACTTTTAAAAGAATGTTTAAAAGAATATTTTCTTACAGGTTGAGATTTGCTGACTACGAATGGCCTTGGGGGAATTCAAGAAGCAATTTATAGAAAAACAAGCTGTAAAGGGCAGATTCTTCCTCGACCTCTTTGCTGTAGGATATTCACTCACAGCTGTCTCACTCTTACTGACTATGGTCTTTGAATTCCTACACTGTAGGTTGATGACTACTAGTTACAAATTGCTGCCCAACTCGAAGCTGAGAGGAAGCTTTTTATCAAAATGAACGTGTAGTACTGCATTGATGCCAACGCTGTCGTCCCATTAAAATACAACTAATTACTTTTATAGATGTGATACTTTAAAAGTCTGAACAAAAAAAATGTAATTATTAGATTTGAACGAGTATCCGGTACAGATAATAAGAAGTCATCAGATTAAAATGTGCCAATAGCTATACTAGTAAATAAAGGCAAATTTTATTATAATAACCTATAAAAACCTTGTTCTGTTAATAGTTATCTTTATATTGTACTGTACTGTAAAAAGTTTTCAATCAATTTCCAAAACACATAATGGGGTACTCGCTCATCCTTAGTATTCATGTGATTTGGTTTCATATTAAATCAGTTACTACTACTAGAGTGCTAACATGTTACAAACTGATTGTTTTTCTTTTCTTTTCAGGCTGACAATAAACGCAGAATGCCAACTGCAGCTACACAACTTTCCAATGGACGAACACTCCTGTCCACTCATCTTCTCTAGCTGTGAGTACACCTTGCTCAATGCAGTGTTCTTCATAGGGCCAGTCTGATTTAGTCTTTTATTCTTGTGCAACAAAATACCATATTTTATGTGGTAGATTTCCAGGGCGTTTCTAGATGGGGGACCTAGGGATTTATTCCAAGCTGTCTTTCAGAGGCTGTAGTGGCCTTCACTTTAACGCTAGAGTGAAGATACTGATATCATATGAAACTTAATGACCCAACGCATCCATCAGTACAACCATGTCATGCTAGCATGTTGGGAAGGGGGCTTTAGTGCTTCAAAGTTAGGCTGAATATTAGTGATGAAACTTGCATGGCCATTTTCAAAGGGATACCTTGACCTCTGACCTCAAGATATCTGAATGAAAATGTGTACAGATACCCACAAGTCTTCTTTTTGCAGAGATACCCGCTTTATGTACATTTTTGAGAAAAAACATGCAGTTTTTAGCATGTGTTATAAATTGAATAAATTGGGAATGAATGGAAAATTAAGACACATACTTGATGCCCTCCCCACTTGAGTCAGTGCCCTTCTTGTGCCATCCCAGCCAAAAAAGTCTAGAAACGGTCCTGTATGTTTCATGTGATTATGTTGGTTTTATTTCTTTCCACACAGCAAGTTACACCTGGGTACAGCTGCTCGTGAACTTAAGTGTCCACTTACAAGCAACTTTGAGTGTTGAAGTGTTGGTTTAACACACATTGATTTTTTTTTAAGTGAAAACGTAGTGGTGGGTGACAATGATGATGAATGCCAAGGGACTGAGGGACAATTCAAAAAACATCCATGCATGTGAAGGCTTAGAAAGTTATTTTAATAAAAGTGAACCAGCAGGGTAGAAAGTGATCAATGTTATTCATGCCACAGTGTTTAGTTAAGTTTGGTTTTCTGTCAATAGTCACTTTTCTTGTTGGTCCTTCTTCCAATACGCATTTTATGTTATGTTAAACGGAGGAACCCACAAGCGGAACACAAACTCGGTAGGTTATAATTTCCAAAGACAGGCTTTATTGAGAACCAGCTGATGAAACGTGATGTGAAGCTCCTGCTGGCAGTGGTGAGAGGATTATGGCTGAGATCCAGGCAGAGTAGAACTGAAGATGGAGGCAGTGTGGCTGATAGAAAGGAGCGGGCAGGTAGCTGAAGTGAAGGTGAGGATCCTGAGGCACAGGAAAAAACAAGGTTAAGTTTCTCAGCACAAACGGGGAAAAAACTTATCTTAAAGTCCTCTAACTGGTCAAGAAAGATACTACCAGGCATGTAGAGACAACAATCAGGCAGAGAGTAGATGAAGAACCAGGGTTTATATACTGCAGGACTGATGAGTTGATGGCTGGCAGGTTTGAGCAGTCAGACAGATGAGTAGGTAATCAGGGAGAGTTGGAGGAGTCCATCAAGAGGAGTAGTTGCAGATCTTAACTCACTCATTTCAGTCTCCCCTTTCAAGTGTGAAGGAAAAACTATGGTGGCCACGAAATGCGCAATCGCCCTTATCATGTTGGTAGTGTTTGGTTTGGTCCATATTATATTCCATTTTTAAAAATAGATCCTCCTAAATGTTACACACTGGACCTTTAACTTGTGATCTCAAAATAACAGCATGAAATAATTGCCAACACAGCCATTCTCAACTTCTGCACTTGAATAAACAATGTAATTATTATAATGAACCCTCACAGTTTATCATTACCAAGAAGCAGGGTACTAAAATGTATTCATTTGCAAGCCATTATTGGAAAGCTTCTCACATTCAGGTTGGTTTGGTTTCATACAGAGCTGTTAATAGAGCTATGGAAAGAAACTGCATTTAAATCCACTGAACTACCAAAGTGCATAATCATCAGTAGCAGACGTTTCCCCATTACAAAGTAAAAAGTATACAAGTCCATAATTTTATATAATATTAATGAAGCCGATGTGTTATGTGCTGTGGATCTACAGATTCTCATAGAGATCTATTATCAAGATCACAGTGATTTAATGTGGTATTAGAGCTTAAAACCTGCTCACTGCACTGCCACGTCTATGGACTCATCCTGCTGTAATCCATCAAACCCATTTCCTTACCTAAGGAACTCATGATTCAGACATTACACTGGTTTCCATGACAACGTCTCTGTTTTCTGATTAAGTCAGATTTGCTTATCTCTAAAGCCATCATGTCTCTGGGGGATTGGAATAATTAACTGAGTACAATGCAAATATGAAGCATAGTTGAATAGACAGAAGGAGGGAGTAGAGCATAGACTCTGTAGATAATTAGCATACTACATTTGGTAAAGCTTGTCAGCTAAATTATAAACAATGTTTACAGTCTTAAATCATGACCTGGACAAAAACATGTGATTGGCTTCATCTAATGCCAATTAAATCACTATGTGTTATGTAGGCTCATAGGGATGAACATACAAAGACATTATCACCCAACTCTGCAGTTCTCCTCATCTCTTCTGAGTATTTTAGCGTCTTCGGCTCATTATTTTGGTTTTACTGTTTGGGTTCACTCTCATTGCTCTCAGTAACCTCATTTCCAGCTGCAGCATGCAGCTGTTTGGACCAAAAGGCTCAGATAAACAGAGTGTACTGCACCGAATGGCAGGCAGACAGAGAACCGTCTAGCTGGTGAACATAATGAAGCATGTAGCAATTTACTGGCCACAGGTTTTCCTTCAGAAAGTGGTTGAGACCCACAACAGAGCTAAAAGCAGATTCAATATTAGATTTATATTCTCCAGTTTTCAGAAATATTCGTTCAATGCTAATGTTGCTCTGTGGCTGCTGGAGATGAAAATAGACGCCTGTTTGCTTACAATATACCACAATAACTTCAATTAATATAGCTTTACAGTAAATATAAAACATAAGTTTAAAAAGGACTTCTAAAGGTTGGTAGTACCCAACTTAAAGCTGCTATTCTTTTAAAACATGAAGATATTTTTGGACCAGTATTTTCATTGCAGGCTCACCGGCTTTGTAGTAAATGTGATTCAGTGAAAACCTTTGGTAACTCAATGCAGAACAATGTCCTGAGAGTGTACTATTATTTATTATTTCATCAGATTATTCTTAAAGATACATTAATATGTAAGCAGTCTTTAATTGTTAAAGCTGGCAGTGGTTGAGCTTATGTTATTATTTCATGTGCCGCAACTAGTGATTATTTTCATTATTGAACAATGTGTTGATTAATCAATTAATTCTTTTGTCTGTAGTGTCAGAAACTTGTGAGAAATGCCCTTTATAATATCCCAGAGCAGAGAATGATCATCAAATTGCTTGTTTTGTCCAACCAAACCCCAAAATGATTCGGTTTACTGACATTTATGACAGATGAATCACTTTTAAGAAACTGGAACCATGAAATGTGATTTTCAAAGTCCGTACTAACTGACTTTAACAGACTAATTGTTGTAGCTCTAATGACCTCCAGTGGATAGTTTAATCTGCCACAATGCATCATTTTTTATAAACTTTTCATATGTTTTGTATGTTAAATCTTAATTTATAAAGTAACCAGTAATTATACATGTCAGATACATTTGGAGCATTAAAAAGTACAATATACACTCAAGTAAAGTAGAAGTACCTTAAATGTGTACTCAAGTAGAAGTAGGTGAGGCAGGCCAACACAAATTCAGTTACAACTCACAACATTTAACTCCTGAACATTATCAAATCAGTTAAATACCTGACAAATCAAGGTAGCTTATCACATTTACCGGGCTTCCTACAGTAAACGCCTTCCCAGCTCCAGGTCCTGGTGTGACCTGGAGAGTCTAACTGTATGCATATAAAGCACTTTTATTTTGAAAGGCACCATGTCCTCCTTTTAGGCTCATGTGCATTAAGTCTTAAGAATATTATTCATTTATAAATGCGTCATGAATTGTGCTTTGAGCCCATTACTAATGTTTTATGTAAATGGTGTACACAATATTGCCAATCCAGTGTTGCCATTCATAAAAGTTTACTTAGTTAAAGAGCTATTTTCAACAGTAAGCTGTTATTTTCTGATCATTTTGAATCTGAGTAGTGATTGCTGAATCTTTAATGACATCATTAATAGCAAATGAGAGAATGTGGCAAATGTTAATGGAATTCATTCATCAAGAATGTTTGGAAACAATTAGCAGTTTGGGCTACATCTTCCCTCACAGTTAATGTTTTTGTTAATTGAAAGCCTATTACATCAAATTGCTATCAGGCAAGATCATAATTTTGTTAGCTTTTCTACTTAAAATGATTATGTGTCTGTTTAAGACAGGAAAGATCCAGGCTAGTGCGACACCAAAGCACAAATGCAATCATTAACCCATCATTAACCTCACATGATCGATTGTAAAAGCACTCCAGGCTCCGTGTGTATCATGTGAAGGTCAGGCCCAACATCAAGATGGATTCAGTACATTATTGAACCAAAGCTTTCATTTAATCTACTTTCCTTCTGCCTCTGTCTTCATTCCAGACTGTCTTTTCATTAGCCAGCCTCCAGCACAAGACAAATGTTGCTCTGGGTGGCCCTAGGTCTGTCTGCACAGGATATCCATCATTAGGATGTGCCATGTAGCACCAAGGGTCACAGACACATGCTCTGTGTAATTGCAGATGGATACCCACGAGATGAGATGATTTACAAGTGGAGGAAGAACTCTGTGGAGGCGGCTGACCAAAAGTCTTGGCGTCTCTACCAGTTTGATTTTATGGGCCTCAGAAACACTACAGACATAATCAAGACTACAGCAGGTAGGATCAGTCTGTTGTACTGTTTCTTCCTCATATAAGAAACTCACTTTGGTGGCAGAAATCACTTTCAGTTCATTATCATTCCTTCATTCATTTATTGTGCAACAAGTTGTGTTTGTGACAACTGTAGGCAGGGTTTTTTTCCTAGCATGGCAACAGACTCATCCAATCATAGCAAACCCTTTAAAACCATCACCAAGATGGGGTCACTGAGGATTTTTAGGGGTGGCACACAGAGTGACAGACTGAATGCTGGTTTGCTGGACGTATTAGCTCTTTTTGTTGTTTTAGAAAACAAATGGGAAACAACATCAATGAATGTGCATTAGCATTAGTACTTGCCAATTGAATTCAGTTTGTAAATGAAAAAATAAAAGCCCCTGTTGTAACCATTAAGTTGATTCCAAGATCCATTAGTCAGACCCAGACCTGCCAACGCTTCCATTTTTCCCGTGTTTCCTCTGTATTTTTAGGCCATCTCCCAGAACCCTCCCGTTTTGTTGCTTCTCCTGGGTAACTTGCATAGCCTCAAACATTATTATCAATAATCATCATACACAGATCTATAGAGATTATACAGGTGTTGTATGTCTGACGTGACCCAATTTGTCAGATTGTGTTGGAATGTGACACAATCCACACACCACGTACAATTTCAGTCCATCTGTCACTGCAACCTGGCAACCCTCCCCCAACCTAAATGTTGGCAGGTATGGTCAGACCACTTGCTTTCTTATCATCACTTATGTAATATCATCTCCTTGTTTACACTGAGCATGCAAGAAATAGAAAGTACAAGTCACAAAAAATCTATCTCTCCTCTTCTCCATCTGTCGTTTCCATCTACTGCATTGAATCTTTTTTTAAACCACTTAAATTTGCTTTGCAACTTTTTTGCAAACTGTTTTGCAGGTGTCCCACTGAGACAACTTTTCTTATTACTTTAACACATCGTCATGCTCCAATTTAGAAAATTGTAATATATCAGATCTGCTGTTAGCGCTATCCTTGGTGAAAAATACATTGTGTTTCCTGTAACGGCTTCACAATAAAAGCAATGGAAAATGTTGACTAAGCATTAGCAGTAACTTCATACGGCTCTGAAACTGTTGTAGCAGAGTGAATAGCAAACAGTGAGTCTGACGTCAGTGAGAGAAAATTACAAACAGTAACGCTGGATTACATGCATGTACTGTTTCCTGTGAATCCCACATGCATAAGTAGGCATGGGAATGGCGGACTCTGCCACTAACAATGAAAACTAGGACATAGAAAAAAAAGATAATTACGTAACGTAAATACATTAAATGGCTATTGCTAAAAAAATTCCCACTGAATAGTTTAAAAAATGATTTCATGAAGATTTTGTGGATTATAACTTTAAAATGTGTCACTGAAACCTCTCTGAGGCAAGTAACTGACCACATATGCATTTCCGTAGCTTGTGTGCATCAAAAACATAATTGTTACTGATATCCAGTTCAGGTTTATTGTGCAATTCAATAGAGTCCACCTTAAGAGGAAGCTGTATGTAATCTGCATAGAGCTGACTCAGCTCTTATATTTTTAGAAATGTACATATTTTGCATATAGGATTTCACATTAATCTTAACCAGACACTCAGTGCCAGACTAAACAATACCAATGTGCAGTATGAACTTTAAATGTGTAGAAAGTGTACAAGTGTTTATATATTGCTTGTAAATGCTAAATGAGGGGTGTTACCAGGATGTTAGTTATAGACAAAGTTAACACATAGATCAATGCTACTACATTATTCATAATTCATGCAGGACTTTCAAAAATGTCCACCCTAACCTGTTTGGGTTATTTAGCAAATTTTTATTACAGTTTTTGTACCAGTGCCTACAGTGACTGGACACATATGTCTGTAAAGGTTTACATCAAGTTGTGTTGGTTGGTTGTGTTGGGTTTTTTTCACACACAGGTGACTATGTGGTGATGACAGTGTACTTTGACCTAAGTAGAAGAATGGGCTACTTCACCATCCAGACTTACATCCCCTGCATCCTCACCGTCGTCCTCTCCTGGGTGTCCTTCTGGATCAAAAAAGACGCCACGCCAGCCAGAACAGCTTTAGGTACTGTGGTCTCACACACTATTTAAGTCTGGAAGATTGCTTTAAACTTCAGCTGTAGAGATAATTGGAAATACTGATGTAGACATCATCTCAAGGTCCTACTTCTGAGGTTTCCATTAGCACACTCTAATCATGTTATGCTTTGAATTTGCTCCATCTTTATGTGCTGTTATCTATACTGCATGGGTATTTGTTTGTCACTTAACTTGAGTCACTCCATCTCCTTTTTTCTGTTTTGTTATGCTCTTTCCCTCTTTTGTGCATGCTCTCTATTTGTTGTAGCGCAGTGAGGAACATTTTGGTGAAGGTAATTGATTTCATCAATTTTTTTCCCCCCACTCTGTTTACATTTTATCCATTAATCACATTTCTGAGTGAGGCTGCATTTGCCCAGGCTTTCAATTAGTTTTTTCCTTGATCCTTGAATTAAGGAATTTAAAAGAAATGCTAGTTTATGTACAGCAATTTCAAACTTTTAGACAGGTATTATAAAATTATAAGGAATGTGCCTCTTTTGAACAGTACTAATGACTGCAAACTAATGACTGTCTTTGTTGATTTTGTTATAAATATTTTTTTGTGTATTATTATTTGATTTTCACTCAGCTCTTAATGGAAACAGTTAATGTGCTGGGCCCCCTCTCAAAAGTGACCCAGCCTCTGTATTCCATACTGTACATTCACAACTGAATCAAAGGTAGAAAAAGAATAACGAGTGCTATTAATCTAATTTAAAGCATCTGGATCAATTGCATGCAAATCGGGGGAAAGAATGGAGGTCATGAATGGATCTTAGATGAATCCATGCTGAGCCAGTGTGACAGTAAGGACAAAGTGAGTCAGCCAAGGGCAGCAAACCTTTCAGCTCAGGTCTGAGCCTTAATATAATTTAGTTAGAGTACCAACTTGCTCAGTAGGAAGTTATCACGCACCATACATGCTCAATCTTTTAGGAAAGTCACATACTCCACACCAGTGGCGGAACTAGACTTTTATACAAGGGGTGGCCAGAGGGTGGCCAAGGCTTTATGAGGGGGGCCATATATTAGGCCTAATAAAGGAAAATCCTGGTAGTACTGATGTTGACACAATTTTTTACTTTCTTGACTGGAAAAAAAGGATGGATGGAAAGTGGCTGGAGGAAATGGACATAAGTTTCACTTTCAGTTTCTGGCGCAGCAATTAAACTGGGGTGGCACCCAGGGTGTCCGATCAGGTTCCAGGGGTGGCCAGTGCTACCCCAGCCACCCCTTTAGCTCTGCCCCTGCTCCACACTGGAAACATTTATGTGTAACATATGATCTACAGATCCTCACAATTTCCTCCACATTAAGCTGTCGGTAAATGCTTCTGAGAGTTTTCCTCTCATCAAACCTGCTGTTCATTCTGTCATTTAGAAAACTTTCAAATCTTTGCCACAGCATTGGCAGGAGGCAGGTAAGTATAATCACTGTGGCAAGCAGAGGCTAAAGGAAAAGTGTGAGATGTCCGCCTGAAATAGATGGGACCAGCTTGTTACCATGGGAACCTCAGTGAAACAGTCACAGATGTTTTTTCTTATAGGCATCTCTATAATGCTAATGGAGTAGGAGATGGGAGAGAGGAAAGAGTGAAATCATACAGAGATGCTTGAGGAATAGAGGTTTCTCTCATGTCTGTCAATCTGAGTGACATCAACAATAACTGCTAACCTAGCAGCTAAGTGACACTGATAAGATAAGGATGTGGTTACTTTTACCACAAATACAATTATTAAAGAGAGTAAATCAAGTAAATCTTAAAGCTTCACTAATCAATATTTATAAAAATGGATCTAATGTATGATCTACGTGTAATGTGAAAGAAGATGCCGATAGCGATGAACCAGAAGGTTTTAGTGTCTTTCAGCTCATCGTTTTGGTTTTATGGCTGCCACTTAAGTGTTTTGTTTCACTCTCACTGCTTTAATCAGCGTCTCAGAAGCAGCAGGCAGCAAGTGTGAACCTATCATGACATCAGCCGTTAGTGGAGTAGCATTTTGAAACCACAAGTTTGGCATTATGGCCGTTGATGTACGGCGGTTTTGCGGAGCCAGCGGATGTGACATACTGCAAGTTGAGCTGCTCTCACTGGCTGCGCAGTTTCAACTCCTCCGTAGCAGGAAACAATGGCATTTTCCATAGTCACACACCTTCTCCTATTACAGCTAAAGAGTACACTTAAATATGTTTCTGAAAAGATTTGAGGCAAGAAAATAGACAATGCAGTAAAACAATCTTGACTTATATTTGATCAGCACTGCCTAGTTTGGCAGTTTGATCTGACTTTGGTGTAGTGTGCTGGACAGACTCACTGAGAATGACTTCTGCTGGCCATTAGAAAAAATGCAGGTTTATGACACTTCCGCGTTAGACCAGGAAGTGGTTGACAGCTGTGCTCACTGTGTTTATGAAGGTGAAAAATTAAAGGAAACTCCTGAATGAATGAGTGGAGATACTTAACGAATGCAAATGCTTTCATACAGGACACAAGTTGGAATAAAAATGTGAATCAATTAAACACCTTTGGGAGGAGGGATAAGGATACAGAGACTAGGAGGTTTGTGTTGGTTTTTCCTTTTAACCATCATCCAGAAATACTTTAATAATCCCCGTGGGGAAATGCATCCATCTATATACTGAATGATAGTAGTATTAGTACCTAATAATATAATAAATAAAAATGTAATACTCTTATGCCCATATTGAGTACATGAAGTCACTGTGAACAACCCTCCTCTTCACACTGGCCACAAAGTCTTTCTAGCTAGCTTCTTGTTGATGCAAAAATGTATACATTTGAAGTTAATGTGAGCCTTTAGCACTCTTAGTTTAGTCTTAGCCTCAGTCTTAGTTTAGCCAAATCAGGTAGGTGTACTCCAAAGTTACACTTTTTTTGGTGATGGGATTCTATATGTTTTGTATTGGACACATTTCAAAATATTAGGCAGGCTACGTGGGGTTATCCAACAAAATTTTATCAGCATAAAAACTTACAGGAACAGTACAGTCTCTGCTCCGGAGATTAAGACTCACTGCAGTCAACACCGTTTTCAGCTAGTCTGCTATCTCTTCTCCGAAAACCAGTCCAAGACAACATCCAACTGAAGTTTTCATCTCAGTTGTGAGTTTGTTAAATAAAAACCTTGTGGATTTCCATTATTACCTGTGAGCAGTGCCTAAGATGAGTCTGTCCTTTCTTTTGCCCTTCAGGTATAACCACAGTGCTGACAATGACTACCCTCAGTAGTGTGGCCAGGACGTCACTACCCAGAGTGTCTTATGTCACTGCCATGGACCTTTTCGTCACCGTCTGCTTCCTGTTTGTCTTTGCTGCTCTGATGGAGTACGCAACGTTAAATTACTATTCATACAGCGCTCGAAGACCCAGCTGCATGGAGCCGAAACGATCGGTGAGTTGGCCTTCAATCAGTTTTAGATACAGATCTGGCAATAATACTCAAAATCACCTAATAGTGAACTCATAATGATACATATAATAACATTTATATTTGAGGTCGCATGTATGAAGACTTATATAGAGGATTACTATCACTTGTTACAAAAGTTGCTTTTCTCTGATGGTGCTTTTGGTTTTGTTATCACAAGACAGAAGTGAGAAAACCTTTCAGGGTTGAGATGATGTGATGCTGCCCTTTATAAGCACTTCTGATAAGACTGTTACTATTTTAAGGGACACTGCATCAGTCTGAGCAAGCTTCCAAGACAGACGGGCCTTTTCTAGCCCATCAACAACTGAAGGAAGGGAGAGTAGACTGTCAGCTCAGAGCAGAAAACCAAAGCTCTAATCTGGAACAAAACTTTAAAAATATACACTATAGGCCTATATCTCATCAGCCGCCTTGAAAGAATGTATGATTGTTAAAAAATAAAAAATACACAAAACAGACATAGAAGTGTATAAAAAGAAACTAAACTCAGAAAACTCACCTCTGGTGTCACATTTACAGGAAATAATCTGCTCAAAATTCATCCAAACTGCTGGTTTTATACAAACTTCCCTTATTGTGTTTTCTATTTGGGTTCATTGTACAGTTAATCACTTAGTCAGGCGTTGTTTAGGGTCTCTTAACCAAAAAAGTTGGGAACCACTGGTTTATAGACTTGTCTATATACTACAGCATTATATACATAACAGAATTCCTGAAATTCAGTTATGGCTTTTCGTTTTGTGTTCCACACCAGGATTCTCTGTGGCCTCTTCCACCCACACATAAGACTCATTTCTGGGGGCACCACTGCTCTGTTCAATACAAACACATTGTTAATGTGAAAAAGAATCCCTAAAAAACAACTAATCTATACAAGGAAAAATTACACTTTTTGCTTCCTCTCCTTCTCAGAACTATTCCGTCCTGGATGTGAGACCTCCGCACACAGTCATCACTTTAAACAACTCCATGTATTGGCAGGACTTTGAGGACGCTTGTGTCTACGAGTGCCTGGACGGAAAAGACTGCCAGAGCTTCTTCTGCTGCTTTGAGGAGTGTAAAGGAGGAGCATGGAGGAAAGGACGCCTCCACATAGATTTACTTGAACTGGACGCATATTCGCGCGTCTTTTTCCCCACCTCCTTCTTGCTGTTTAACATTGTCTACTGGGTAGGCTATCTCTACCTTTAGCACACTGCAGGAGCCTGTTTGGTCACAGAAGGAGGACAACACAGTATAACAGGATAAATTCAAGATTAATTAAAAAAAAAAAAAAAAAAAGGTAACACCAAATAAACTCTTTCCTGTGGTACCTGAAGCAGTCACCCGGAGATAAAAAGAGAGGACAGGGTGTGTCTGCAGGGCTGTGCCGAGCAGAGATTTCTGCCTCTGTGACTTCAGGTATGAGAATACAACACAATACTGATTCCCTTCGATATGCTGTACACAGAGGGAGGACAGGATGGACTGTGTGCTGATGACAATTTGAAGACAAAGAAGGAAATGTGCTTTGCACTGCTACCCCAAACTCTCAATCAGGAGGATGACTTGTGTTGTAGGGATTGTACTGGCACGTTATTATCCAGCCATCAGTCAAATCCAGTTGATGAAAATCCAAGGACATTCAAACCATTCATAGTGCCTTCCTCTGGAGGGGTAGATACTATCTGCTACAATAATCAGGGAATAATGATTTATAAAAACTAAAAAAAAAAAGAAGAGCCTGGCTTTGACTGATTGTGGCTGTTCTCATTCAGAGCTTTGAGTTACAGCCATTTGTTGTAACAACCACATGTAAAATCATTTATCCCCTCACACTGACTTTCAGCCATTAGGCATGACTTATTCTTCCTGCTTGCAACACTATTAGTATCCCTATATGGTAAAATAAATAAAAGGGTTCCCAGGGAAGAGAATTATTTCAATTGACCTTACAGCAGAATAATAGTATGTGTTTTGTTGGTATATCTTGTTTTACGTCAAATATTTGAACGGTTCTTTGTATTTTATTTATGTTTGTGTTCGTACAGGCACAGCTCTCTCATCAGGGTGTCCTGGATGTGCACCCAGGGGCTCGAGGGACAATAAAATGATTATGGGAAAGTACTAGCCCAATGTACACGTTCATTGATATATTTAAAAAAACAAACAATTTCCTTTAAGGGATTGGTTTTGGGATATTTGGGGAAATATATGTCTTACTTGCCAAGAGTTTGAGGAGGAGATTAATAGCAATAATGTCTGTATGCTAATATGCAGCTATAGTCAGCAACTGCTTAGCTTAGCTTAAAGACAAAGCAACAACAACATTTGCCTACAAGCATTTTGGCTATTTTATAGAATAAACAAAGAAGATATAATTAATGTTAATTAATGAGATTTAAAATAACTTTGGAAGGCTAGCTGTTTCCTTCTTTATGCTAAGCTAAGCTAACTGGCTGCTGGCTTTAGCTTCATATTTAGCATACAGCTGTGAGAGTAGTATCGATCTTCTCATCTAACTCTCCGCAAAGAAGTGAATAAGCGTATTTCCCAAAATGTCAAACTATTCCTTTCAAAGAAATGGGCGTGTACTTTTTTTTACTCAGCATTACTGTAGAGGTTTTAGGGGTTGTAAAAATACATTTTGGGTTAAATATAATTACAGCCACACAGAGGTTTGTTTTGTCTACCAGCTGCATTGTCACAGATTGGGGCCCTCTGAGATAGAACACCCAGGGAACACAGGCAGCCATGTGCATAATTCAAGTGTTATTTTTCTAGATGTTACACATATTCACACCATGTATTGGTGTTGCACAGCAGCCACTTCTTGCCAGAGCTCTTAACATGCACTAGATGAAGTGAATAGGCAAAGAATAGTGTTTCTTCTCTCAGCCGTTGACTGACAAACTGACAACCACCCTTCAGTTCTTCTCGAAACACAGTTGGTGAACGGGACGCCCCAAATGAAATATAATGGGTGTCATTTGTACATTACTGTAGGCACAAATATGATAATCCCACTCATTTGGATCACTCCTCTCTGTTTGGCCGTTGACTCTTGTTTGCATGCAATAGGCAATTTAACACTACCCTGAAGAAGTTGTAATACGTTCGGAGATAGAATTATAGTTTTAATATGGACTGTTTGTAACCTAATTTGATTTCCCTGTTTAGATTTGGCATTAGCAACCGTTGAATTGCCTTAGTGTAGCCCGCCCAGAGCTGAGATGAACACCAGAAATACAAATTTACCTCTGATAATAACCTCAGCATGGTGAAGACCTCACTTCAGCAAAGACTACTTCTTTGCCCTGGGCAATATACTTTAGTAGAACTTTTTATATCCCTTTTTTGAGCTGTTTTCTTTTTATTATATTTGCAATGTTTGTGCCAAATATTTCACATATGTGCCCAGTCATTTATGTTTTCAGGCAAGTTTTAACAACCCTAAAATGGTCACACTATTATGTTTTGGTACTGCACTTAGTATAGTGGTGTAAAATAAATAGTATAATGCTAGCTTTTGAATTATTTAGTATTTAGCGATTGTTGGGGGTTGATGCTGCGTTCACATTGTGGCAGTATGCCGTAGATGGGAAAGTGAGCTCATTATTTCCAACAGGAGAAGAATAGTATACTCAGCCAGCACTGGAGCAAAGTGCCGCCTACTGTGCCTGCAGACAAACAAGATGCTGAATGAAAATGGATGCAGCCACATATGTTAGTGCACCTGTTCATTGCGTCTCCTCAACAAACACAAAGTACTGATAGCAGTTCATCAGACTGTCTTTCTGTGGTTCTTTTCTTTGGCAACATGGTAATTTATACAAGTAATCATACTCAATAATACTACTACTAATAATAATAATAGTTAATAACAAACTGTAATCTGCTACGCGTGGCATTTTGTTGGCCACAGTGTGAATGCAAAACTATTGTTTTATATCACGTTTATGACCCGTGTTTGTTTTGCAGTGTTAATTGATTCATTACTCTGTGGAGCCCAGATGTTACACAGTTCTGACTCCCTTCTGCTGACAGATGAAGGGCGATGCAATAAGGTATTCTGAGCGGTGCTATACTTAACAATAACTCTTGCATTACCATGTTAGGATCAAACCATTTGTGGGGCATTTTTGCCTTCATTAGACAACTGACTGAGAGAGGGTAAGGCATGTGACAGAGATCCCACGCTGGTTCACCTTCACCAGCTGAACCACCAGGATGCACCCGTTTGTAAGTTTGTAATTCTGCCAATATAAAACTTAGAACAGGGGCCTGACTGTTAAAATCATACTGTCAACTAAACTCATTCTTGTCTCACTCTGTATTTCAGGCAATAGTGTCTAAAACACACAGCAGCAACAGACACAAGAAAGCTCTTGCATCATTTAGCTTTTCTTGAGTAAAACTCAAATGTATGAGGTCAAGAGTTATTGTGAACATGGCTCTGGTGGGTCCTTGAAAGTGAATTATTATCACATTTTCTGTAAGATCTTATTGAGGCAATTTAAAAATATTTTGTTACATCAAAGATCCAGATTGAAATGATATATTGTCTAATGGTTAAATAAAAACTGTAGATTGGATTTGTTGTGCAGGTGTTACTTTTGACTTAAGGGGTTTACATAGAACATTCATCTCTGTGATGACAGACAAAATGAATTCACTGTACCTTTAAACTGACACAACAGATTTTCCATTGGCTGTGCCCACCTCTCCCTACGTGCTATTTGAAGTTCAATAAGACTAATTCCCACCCTCCCTCTCATGTTTGCTTTTGATTTTGCATCATGTTGTGGACAGTCCACATTTTTCAGTATTATCTTTGAGACTCTGGGAAAGCAAAGGGGATAAACACTGGGAGGGATTCAGGCTGGGATTTGATCCTAGGCCAGTATGAGTGTGTGGCTCCAGACTGAACCAGTCAACCAGCTCTGGCCACCGTGTCATCTGTGCCGAGGATCAGTAGGATTATGCAGATGGGGCATGTGAGGGACAGACATATAGACATGAAAACGTATCTGTCTGCCACTAATGTGCTATGTAAATCCCTTGTAAAGAAAGTTGTGTGTTTTTGTGATTCAGAAGTTTTGTAACTATAAACAGAGAGAATTTTCAGTATTAGTGCAGTTTTGGTGACTTGAAATACAATAAACTCAGTGCAAACACTGCATTGATTCTAAGCCACATGCAGTAAGTATTATTGTGATGAATAAGCCAAAGACATTTTTGTTTCAGTTTATACACTGATGGTTTGAATCATGTTCGAGGAAATTGTTGTGTTTTGGGTTTAAAAAAAAAAAGAGTATGGCTTCAGTTGTATTCAGTGCAGTACTGTGAAGTGTCATTTGGTTTGAAACTATGAGCGTAACAGAAATAATTAGCCTAGAAGTGCTCTAAGATTGGTTGATGTCATTGGCCAGTTCATCCACTCTTGTATTATTTGTGGCAGAAGTCTCACTAACAGCTACTGTACGTGCTGAAGGGGATTTTGACAAGTGTCTCTGCTGCTGTACACAAAGTGTATTTCTACCACAAGCTTTCATTCTTGTTATCTGCAGTGTATTTCAACAGTGGTGAATCATGTTTCTGTTGACATGTATTATCTCCTATCTAACTTACTCTATACACAATACTCAACTGTACACTTTTTCTGCTTTGTGTTTTCATATTTGTGGCTTCAGTGTGACATAGATATATCATTACTCAATGGTACAGTCAAGTGCAAGTGTTGAGATTGTACTCCTCAGCAGCGTGGTGTCCCGTGAGTGGGGTTGTTTTCATGATTTTGCGCCTTCGGCTCCAGCATCTACAATCCATTTCTGATGGCCCATGCTATTTTCATACCTATGGTTCTTTTTATATTTGAAATGTGAATTGCTACCAAGGACCAGAAAATATGGAATAAAGTTTTTTCATAAATGTACATCATTGCAGTCAGTTTTGCACTTTAAATGTCTTTTGTTTAAATGCATTTAAATTGAAGCTATTTTAGTATTAGCAGAAATGTGCCTCCTGATAGACTGTATCTTACCTCAGCTGCTTGTTGTACCCCACTGGTGTTTTGTCAAAATAAATTTTGGAAAAAGTGAGCACAATGGGACCTGCCTTCAACAAAAAGACAAAATGTCTGCCAGTCTCTATCTGAGCAAAAATGTTTAAACCAGTTATTTCCTGCAGATCCTTCCAGTCAGCATGTGAGAGGAGTCATATTCAAAGGAACTAATTCTTTTTTAACCTAAAATCAAAACAAACTGACCTTGAGTCTGTCTTCAAATTCAATTGTACATTGAAATCTAATAAAGGAGGAAGAGAGTAACACAATTGGGTGTCCCTTAGACAATTGTTTGTTTACACCCATAAATAAATTATGGAATTGTGTTTGCCCTTTCACTACAGGGGCCAAATGTGAGCCTGTGCATTAAACATGGTAGCCTGTTTTTGTTTTTTTTTTTTACACACACACACACACACACACACACACACACACACACACACACACACACACACACTCCATGTAGTGAGTGTTAAGTGTCATGCATACAAGACATCTCTAAAAGTGCTCTAAATTATTAAGTATTAAAAGACCAAGTGACTCAAATCCAAATGAGTAAATACATAGAAATAGTGACTATTTGGTTGGCAGAATATTATTATTAGTCATTGTAGTGGCTCTATGGATAACAATGTTGGTGTTTCAGCTGGTCAGTTGGTTGGAAATATCTCAACAACTACTGAATTGTTCATGTTCCCCACAGGATGACTTAAAAAGTTGTCATAGCAAACAGTATATTTACATTTTTAGAAAACAATTTTTAGAAAACAAAGGGAATTATTTTGTTTTGGAGTAGTGTTTCTAGCGATGTTCAATGTTCACTGTCACATTTGCTGCTAGCATATTCAGTCTGTGTGGTTTGGTGCTGGGCAGGTAAAAACTGCCTGCTGTGGCTGTAAACAGGGTTGAGGTGAGCCTGAACCAAAGTGAATTTGCTGCGGTACCAAACAAACCAAATTGAAGGAGCTAAAATACATTAAAACACTGTAGAGCTGAGGGGAACAAATGATCATTCTGCTACAAACGACCACTTTCACATTACACATAGTCATTTGATCCATTGTTAATATAGAAATATTGATTTGTTCAGCTTTTTAAGTGAAGATCGCAGACAGCAGATAGACCAGTGTGAGTGAAAAAGGGGAGGAGGCGCTAGGGCAGGACACCCCTTTAAGGCATCATCAGCAGATGTAAAAGTTACAGGTAGAGAAGAAGAAGGGGTCTCTTATGTCAGGAGTCAAGGTTCAGACTGAGAAAAAATGCCTCTGAGACAGTCAAGCACATAACAAAAGTGTACGAAACAACTAGAGTGCATGCATTAGGTTCCAGGACCACACGTCGATTTATTCAAGAAACACAGTGGCAGTGGAGTCATTAAAAGTCTCTTCCTGTATGTGAGCAGCAGACGAGGGAGCAGCTGTGTAGGTGCAGGATAAACCAAAACAAAAGTAGTCTATCTCACTCATAGATCAGCACTGTGTTGGACGTCCTGCCTACTCAGCACTACAAATTGTCAGTTGCCATGGTAACCGTGTTCTTTCTGGTGTAACTAAAGATCTGATCGAAGGCACTGACGGCAATCTGACTCTGTTCTGTCACCTGGCTTTGACAACATTTTGGCTCTTATACTTTTTAGTTTCCATCCATGGGTACAGTAGTAATTCACACACACCACTGAAAGTCAGTGATATGAAAGGCCTCTCCCTGTATAATACATTTTCCAGCTCAAAACAAAAGATATTGCATTATGTGCTCTGTGACTGCTTTACGAACTTTCGTAAAGTGTTTATCGTTCTTCTTTCATTTGACATTTTCTAAATTGTTACCATTTTTATAATCTGTATTGTTAGTTTATCTACTCATACTGAACACTGGCATTAAAACTCTCATGTCATAACCTATCACTGGATTTGACTGAGGCCTGAGGCCTGTTTTGTCATCTGGAGGCTAATGGGTTTTTTCCATGGGTCAGTCCACTTTAGCTGCACCACACTGAGCTATAATGACATGCAATTCCTCTGCAGCCTCACAGTAAGAGATAGCTGATGCTGTGGTCCTGATCATTTTGATGTGTTTTCTTTTTTTGCTTGAAAATAGACATTTATTGAATTTTGCATTTGACCTTGTGTCATTTATCAAACTCTTACGACTAAGGCTGCACAATTAATCACAATATTATCGAAATCGCACCATGGCCAAGTCCAATATGCAAATCACAGAAAACTGCAATTTTGATAAAGGTAAAATGTGTAAAAACATTGTTATAATGAAGGAGTGTAGAGCTACAGATGTGCCTTGGCCTACATTTCTTTTCTACATTTATTCTTGTTCTCCACATTTAAGAAAACATGTTTGTTTGATACAGACCCTAATAAATTTCAGATTATCATGATTTAGTTTTTTCAGTGAAAATTTTATTTGGGATGCAAAGATGATCACTCTAATCACGAATCATATCGCAGTTGCTCTACATTGATTAAAGAGCATAATAATGCAAGTTAAAATCTATTAATGATCGTTTTCTACAGTAAAAGGTTTGATTTAACTGCTGGTTTTACATCAGGAAAAGCCTTCCTGATGTAAAACAGTTCCGTGTCAAGTCCATTGATCAAATCTGTTTGGTTGTCTCAACTTTAGAACAATATATAATATTTTTAATACATTTCCTCAAACAATCACGGTTTGAGCAACCTTCCAACACAATGATCAGCTGTTGCTTTTAGGGAGGAGGAAGCTGCAGTTATCTAGAGTGACTGCACATTGTATCCTAGGGTGCAGCCAGCTGGGAGCAGGTGTAGAGGAGGAGGGAAAGGCTGTAGGATGTAGACAGTTGGCTGCTGGAATAATCTCTTCCTCGCCTCACACTGTTTCTCACAGACAATCTTTCCACATTAGACTGAGAGCTAGACTTATGTGCTTCTGTATGGAAGTTACCAGGCAACAGTTCAGAGAAAGAAGTTCAGACATCAGAGAACCTGATGAGATTTCTTGAGAATGAAAGTCTTTATACGTAATGTTAGACTACTTCACTTACTGATGTGTGTTTCAGAAACTTGAAGTAGTACCTTTTCAATGTCTTGTTCAAATGATGGGTTTTGCAGATAAATCACTTATTTCTGCAAGGAAGAAGTGTTGGATCGGTGTAAAGGCCAGACAGCCAGACCCTCTTTCCCACTGGGATGTCAGATCATCTGGAGACATATCTGCCAGCTCAGCAGTATCTTTTCATGCTCAGTGAGTCCTTGAATATGAGGACAGTGGTTTTAAAGGAATAGTTCAACATTTTTGGCAAACCAGTGTTTGACTCTCTTGCCAAGAGTTAGAAGAGAAGATTTATAGCATATCAACCTTGAGACGTGTTAGCTTAGCATTGTGTAGCCCATCCACTGACTTTTTATTGGTACACGATTATCAAGACATACTTTGGCTTTTACCTCTGTCTCTTTCAGGGTTCCCACTCTTTTTAACAAATCATTTTCCAGAACATTTTCCAGGAGTTTTTATTGAAAATACTGGACAGCACTTAAGCACACATATGACTAGTGCAAGTCACTTCCACTTTACCCACTCTGAAGTGTCATACAGTTTATCCAACAGTCGAGTTTCCAACAAAACACACCCTTAGGTTTATGTAGTCGATGTGAGTGCCGGGTGAAAAATACTTATATAAATTTCCAGGACAACATAGATTATTTGCAGGATAACTTCTCATTAAATTTCCAGCTTTTCCAGGACACGGGGGAACTTGTCTTCCCTGGCATGGGAGGTGAAATGGTAATGGATCCCTGGCAATGGATCCTACAATGTACTGGGATGTTTCTACAGTAATTAACAACTGGGCATGTGACTCCGACTAGGGTGCCAAGAGGCCTAGTTAGCTTATTTCATAGCTATTACTTGTTATTTATGAGCTTAGCACTCCATTTCACCACATTACATTACTATCAAACATGCACATGAATCCCATTACTACCTAATATAAATAAATCTCAAACCACAAGCATTGAATGCAACAAGATTAAAAAATGTATTGCAGAACCATTCTCATGTTCTGACGACCCAAAAGAATTAAAGCAATCAATACCCAGGACTTAATAATTCGTTTTATGGTACCATGAAGTTGAAGCTCATTTTTAATCCTCAAGGAAAGTATTCTGTACTCACGCTGCCATGCAATGAGCTGTGCCATGAAGAAAACCAGGTCTGAGGCTCTGTGTGCAAAAGGAGGCCCCTCCATGCAGCTACAAGTGCAGAGCCCCTCGACTACAGAAGCCTGTAGCAGCACTAGCCAGAAATTCACAAACACTAATAAACTTACTATCTTTTAACTATAAACGTCAATACAATCTCATTTCTCATGTGTCAATACTCAGAAACTCACGCACGCAGTTTCTCTCCTTCCAGGTTACTAAAGTGATGGTAGCTAGCAACCAGTCCACACCTGGCTATGCCATTTTCGCCAGTTTAGCAGAATTAAACTGCTCCAAAACATAGCTCCTTAACTGTGATTACAACTGTAATTTAACAGTGTACTAAACTCACAACAGTGATTAATATCCCTGCTCTCACACTCTCAGTCCCCTTCCCTTTTCCGTGTGTTTCTCGCCCTTTTGTAGTAAGTGTAGTAGTAATTTCCTCAAAGAGTCTTGTATGTCACAATACTGATCTCTGACTGGCTAATAAAAAAATTAAACCTGGTCACCAGAAGAAAATAGTTGTGAGCGGTTCAAGGGCTACGTAAAACAGAGGACATTTGAGCAGCTTACCAAACTATAAATTAAATGGAGTTATCAACAGGGTTGGGAGTGTTACTTCAAGTATTACAATATTAAAGTAACGTAACGACAGAACAATGTAACCTTTGAAAAGAGAATGTGTCCCTGCTCAGTGTATTTTTAAAGAAAAACTGATGTATTTTAAAACTGTAATCATGCTAAATAATCCCTATTGTATCCCCACTGTAATCTGGTTATGTCCTTTTTTTCTGTAACTTTAATGGATTACAGTTACCTTTTTGGTATCCTGATTAGATAACTC